TTATGTATAATTTGTCAGTAGATTGTAGGAATAATATGGTTCCCTCTGGTTTTCGTGACTAGCTAGGCATTGTTTCTCTCTTGTATCGTCTCCTCCCTCTATCATGGTTTTCCCACTTAAGGTGCCCGCACTTCCCCCCTTTCTTCCTTACTAATACCCTTGCTCCTATGATCCTACCTCTGTTGAGCTTCTTCTTTCCTTATCCCCTAGGGCATACCTATTTTTATGTTACATGTGTCTCTAGTAATAAATTGTTTTGTATTTCTACTTTGTATTGGCAGGTGCAGACGAGACTGATGGAAATGAAAGATCTGGAGAATCATAGTAACCAATCAAATCGGTGCAGCAGCCCACACAGCACTCTTGTAAATGGTGCTGCAGATTATTGTAGCCTCAGCACCAGCAGCAGTGAAACAGCTAACCTTAATGAACATGCTGAAAGCCAGAACAACTTAGAGTCCGAACCCATTCACCAGGAGTCACCAGTGAGTCTTAATCCCATAATCTTCATAATCAGCTTCGCATAAAAAAAAGATTGATGAAGATCAAAGTGTGCGTGTGTGTGTGTGTGTGTGTGTGTGTGTGTGTGTGTGTGTACAAATATGCACATGCACCTATGTTGAGGCCAGAAGATAACCTCAGGTACCATTTCCTCAGATGCAGTCCACCTTTTTTTTTTTTGATACAGGGACTCTCCTTGAGACTTGATTAGATTAGCTGGCTGGAAAGCCCCAAGTATTCACCTACCAGGTCCTGACTTTTTGTGTAGATTCTGGGTATCCAGACTCGGATCCTCATGCTTGAACATCAACTACTTTACTAAGTGGGCCATCTCTTCATCCCAGATGGAAGTTTTGTTAGCACTGTATATAATACAAAGGTATTACCATGTATCATTTGAGGACACTTGTATTTTCAGATTTATTTTTAATTTGTGTATGTGTGTTTTTATTTGTATGTGTATCTCTGTGTGTGGAGATATACTCACTTGTGGTTGCACCCACCCATGCATGTATGTGTGGAGGCCAAAGTTCAACTGAGGTGTCCTCCACTATCACTCTCCACCTTACTTTTAGAGACAGGGTCTCTTCACTAAATCTAGAGCTTGCTGTTTCAGCAAGACTGGCTGTCCAGCAAGCCCTGGTTACCCACTTGTCTTTGCCATCCCAGCATTGGGTTATAGGTGCATACCACCATTCCTAGTTTGTGCCAGGAGCCCAAACTCAGTTCCTCATTTTTGCAGAGCAACACTTTACCCATTGAGCTCTCTTCTCAGCCCTGCCTTTGAGCTCTTGATCCACCAGCCTCCACCTCTCTTGTACTGGGATTACCAGGATATGCCATCACACCTTTTTTTTTTCTTATTTATTATTTTTATTTTTTGTGTATGAGTGTATTACCAGCATGTATGTAGGTAGGGTCACCCATGTCATGCAGTACCCTCGGAGGTCAGAAGAGAGTATAGGCTCCCCTGGAACTGGAGGTAAGGACAGTTGTTAGCTGCCATGTAGGTGCAAGCGCTCTTAACTACTGAGCCATCGTCTCTCCAGCCCCGCCACTACACCATTTTACAGAGCATAGGTTAAAAGCAATGTCTCAGCTAGGCATGGTTGCATACACTTTAAAATTGCATGTATTTATTTATTCTCTCTGTGTACCCGGTGCATGGATGGAAATCAAAGGACGATAGGCAGGTCTCGGTTCTCTCCTTTTAACATGTAGGTCTCAGGGAGTAAACTTAGGTCATCAGGCTTAATGGCAAGGGTCTTTACCCATGGGGTCATCTTGCTGGCCCAGGCATACATGTTTAACCCCAACACTCAGGAGGCTGAAGAGGAAGATTGTGGGTTCTAAGCCACACTGGATAACATAATGAGACCTTGTCTCAAAACAACAGTAAAACAGAAGTATTGAGCTGGACATGATGGTACACACTTTTAATCCCAGCACTGGGAGGCACAGGCATTTGGATCTCTGTGAGTTCAAGGCCAGTCAGGTCTATATAGTAGTTCCAGGCCTACTGAGACTACAGGGAGACCCCGTCTCAAAAAGACCAAAAAAACCCAGTACTTCTGCAGATAGTAACTTTTGGAGCCAGGGTCTTGCTATGTTGTCCACACTGGACTCAAGTAATCCTCCTGCCTCAGCCTTCAGAGTTGTGATGATAACAGACCCACCACCATTACCTTTCTTAGGTAATAGCTTTTTAAAAAGGTTTTAAGAGCTAGGGATATAGCAAAGTGGCCAGGAGTTTGCATACCACATAAGAGGCTTTGAGTTTGATCTCCGAAAATAAATTTTAAAACATATATACAATTTTAAAATGTTTTGGAAGTATTCTTACCCAAAGCTTTAAGTAATTCTTTATTATGTAACATTAAGGACATTAATTTTACCAATTATTCAGAGTGCATCAATTATGTACAAGAGTGTGGGGACTATATAGATATATGTTTTATTGCATTTCTTTGTTGGGGGGCATGCCACAGTGGGCATGTGGAGGGCAGAGGACAACTTGCAGAGAGTTGGTTCTTTCCTTCTTCCATGTGGGTTCTAGGGATTGAACTTAGGTCATCAGGCTTGGCAGCAAGCACCTTTACCCACTGAACCATTTTTTTAAATGTTTGTTTGTTTGTTTATTTATTTATTTATTTGTTTGTTTGTTTGTTTTTGTCTTTTGAGACAGGGTCTCCCTTATTTATTTATTTATTTATTTTGGTCTTTTTGAGACTGGGTCTCTGTAGCCCCAGCAGGTCTAGAACTCACTATGTAGATAAGGCTGGCCTTGAACTCACAGAGATTCACCTGCCTCACAGAGATCCTCCTAAGTGTTGGAATTAAAGGTGTGTGCCACAAGGCCCGCTTATTTTTATTTTATGTGTTTGAGTGTTTTGCCTACATGTATATAAGTACACCACATGTGTACATTGCCCACAGAGGCCAGAAGAGAGGGCATCAGATGCCTGGAATTGGAATTACAGCCAGTTGCTAGCTGCCATATAAGTGCTGGGAACTGAACCAGGGTTCTCTGCACAAGCAGACAATACTCTGAACTGCTGAGCCATCTCTCCAGCCCCATCCACTGAGCCATTTTGACTTGAGATAAAAGATTTTCTTTTTCTTTTTTTGATACAGGGTCTCACTCTGTAGCCCTGGCTGGCCTGGAGCCCACTACATAGACCACACTGCTCTCAAACGCATAGAGATATGTCTACCTTTGCCCACAGAGTGTTGAGATTAAAGGCACGCACCACTGCCTGGCAAGACAAAATTGTTTTGTTTTTAATTAAAAAAATTTTTTCTGCCTACGTAAAAGTTGTGAATTGCCTACAAGTATGTTAGAGCACCACGTGCATGCAGTGCCCGCCGAGGCCAGAAGAAAGTGTCAGATCCCCTGGAACTGGAATTAAGAACAGTTGTTAGCCATCATTTGGGTGCTGGGAACTGAACCTAGGTCCCCTCTAAGAGCAACTGGCACTATTAACCTCTGAGCCACCTCTCTTAAACCCGAGACAAAACTATTTTAACTTCATACACGTGCACATATTTTTGGTAGGTGAGAAGTAGTCCTGAAATACCACACTCTGATGTGACTGATGAAAGCGAAGCTGTGCCTGCAGCTGGTGATGAACACGCTCGTCCCAGATTCGACAGTGACAACCTTTCAAGACAGGTGAAAACAATTTTATATTTAAATGTTCTTATCTCTAATATCTTTTTTTTTTTTTTTTTTTGGTCTTTTTGAGACAGGGTCTCCCTGTAGCCCCAGCTGTCCTGGAACTCACTATGTAGACCAGGTTGGCCTTGAACTCACAGAGATCCGCCTGCCTCTGCCTCTGCCTCCTGAGTGCTGGGCATAAGGGCGTGTGCCACCAAGCCCGGCCTGTCACTAGTATCTTAAAGTGGGGGTGGGGCTGCAAAAATATTTATTGATTTTTCAAAGTAAGTATATGATCTGAATGTAGGCCATTTTAAGTATTATCTTTTAAAGGTTTGGTTACTAAAAATTATCTTTTAATTAAAAATTATTTTTAGGAAGATCCATTTAATGTAGAATCAAGTTCACTGACAGATCCAGTTGCAGATACAAACTTGGATTTTTTCCAGTCTGATCCTTTTGTTGGCAGTAAGTATCTTTGTTTTGAAAGTTTACCCAAAATAAGGTTTCTTAATGTATGTAAGCATTAAGGGTTCAGTTTTGAATACATACTTGTTACAGCAAAACTAAAGGTGAGAAAAGGGTTTATATTCTTGTATTTGCTAGTATTTAACCTCCACATTAAGCCATGGGAGTTTCTGTCTAATCATGACATCTGATGAATTAAAATGTCCGGTGGCAGTGTAAAGTATGTTAAGTATTACTGTGTGAAAGGTCTTTGAATTATATTTTATTTCCAAAACTATCTTGTGAAACTGAGTTTGGTATTAGAGGTACATACTTGTAATTTCAGCACCTGGTAAACAGAGGCAGGAGGTTTGCTGCAGATTTAAGGCCAGTCTGGTCTACATAGCAAGTTCTAGATCAGCCAGGGGCTACATAATGAGACCTTCTGTCAGAGAAACAAAAGCAAGAGAAGAGTCAAAACTAAGGCATATGGACAAAATAACTTAAAACTTTTTCATTTAAAAAAAAATATTTTATGCTGGGCATGGTGGCACATGCCTTTAATCCTAGGCAGACGCAGGCGTGGTCTACATAGTGAGTTCCAGGACAGCTGGAGCTACCGGGAGACCCTGTCTCAAAAAGACAAAAAAAAAAAATTTATGTATATGAGTGTATTGTCTGCATGTATGCAAGTGCATCCATGTTATATAGTGCCTGCAGAGGTCAGAAGAGGGTGTCAGATCCCCTGGAACTGGAGTTACAGACAGTTGTTAGCTGCCATGTGGGTGCTAGGAATCAAACCCAGGTCTTCTGCAAGAGCAGCCAGTGCTCTTAACTGCTGAACTGTCTCTCCAGCCCCAAGTTTTTTCTTTTTCGTTCTTTGGTCTTTCTGAGACAGGGACAAGTTTTACATTTTCAGGGTATAGGGGCTGAGATTGTAGCTCTGAGGTAGAGTGCTTGCCTAGAAGACTTGATGTCTTGGATTTGGTCCCCTGACTGCATTAGTAAATAAATATCATGGTTCAGAACATTCAGTTCTGGAAGTTTTTATCAACCTGTAAAGAAATTTCATACCAATAGGCAAACACTTCATCCCCATCTCAACTCCTTACCTGATTTTTTTTTTGTGGGGGTCTTTTTGAGACAGGGTCTCCCTGTAGCCCCAGCTGTAACTGGAACTCACTATGAAGACCAGGCTGCCTTGAACTCAGAGATCCGCCTGCCTCTGCCTCATTAAAGGCATGCGCCACCACGCCCGGCCCTTATCTGATTTTTTAAATGGACAAAATTATTTAACTATTTTTCAAAGTGTATATGCAAATGGCCACGAAGCCCATAATGAGATACCATTTCATGCCTACTAGGATGACTATAATCAAAGGACAGATAATAACAAGTGTTAGTGAGGATATGGGGAAGTTGCAACAAACTGTTGGTGAATGTGAAAGGATTTGGTCTCTTTGGAAAAGGGTCTGATAGTTTGATAGTTTCTCTAGTATATGACCTGATAATATATACCCAAGAGGAATGGAAATATAAAACATATACATAAACTTTGTGTAGCACATCATTTTTCTTCCTTTACAAATGGGCTATTTATTTTATTTTATTTTATTTTATTATTATTTTTTTTTGTGTGTGTGTGTGTGTGTGTGTATCTGTGTTAATTTAAGTGAGTGCAAGTGCCTGAGGGTGCTAGAGAGCATATTTTCTTGGAGCTAGAGCTACAGGCAGTTGTAAGCCTCTTAACTGGCCCCCTGGTTTGTTGTTTGTTTGTGGTTTGTTTTTTATTGTTGGACTTGTAGGAACTCTTTGCATATTCCAAATATATGATTTGGAAATACTTTATTGCATTTATGTGTGTGCTTTTTAAATTTTTTGAGACAAATGCTCACTCTGGAGCCCATACTGGCCTCACACTCAGGTAATCCTCTTGCCTCAGCCTCCTGAGTCATGGGATTACAGGCATGAGTGCCTATACTTCTCTTTAAGAGCTTTATAGGATTTTTTTTTGCTGTTGTTGTTGCTTTAATTTTATGTATATGAATGTTTTGCCTGCATGTATATAAATGTACCACATGTGTACAGTGCCCATGGAGGCCAAAGTGGTCTTTAGATCCCTTGGAACGCGAGTTACAGATGGTGGTTAGGTGCCATGTAGGTGCTGGGAACCAAACCTAGGTCCTCTACAAGAGCAGCCAGCACTCTTAACCACTGAGCCATCTCTCCAGCTCCAAAAAGCTTTATAATTTAACTAAAAAGGCATCATCATGCCTGGCTCCTTTTTCTTTTCTTTTTTTTCTTTTTTGTCTTTTTGAGACAGGGTCTCCCTGAAGCCCCAGCTGGCCTGGAACTCACTATGTAGACCAGGATGGCCTTGAACTCACAGAGATCTGCCTGCCTCTGCCTCCCAAGTGCTGGGATTAAAGGTGTGCACCACCATACCTGGCTTTATGGTTTTAACTTTTAAAACTAGAATTTTGGTCAGGTGTGGTGGCTCACGCCTTTGATCCCAGCACTGAGAAGGCGTAGTGTGTTCCAGGCTGGCTTGGAACTAGGAAGACTGTCAAAAAAAAAAAAAAAAAAAAAAAAAATTTAGAGCTGCCTCAGTGGTTAAGAATGCTTGCTGCTCTTCTAGAGGACCTGAGTTTGTTTCCCAGCCCCACGTCAGGCACTTCCAATCTCCTTTAATTCCAGCTTCAGGGGTTCTGACTCCCCTCAGTCTTCTTAGGTATCTCTACATGTGTGACATACACACATAAATAAAAACAAAATTGTGTATCTGGTATGCGGTAGGGATCCTGTTGTCCAAATCTCTTTTTCTTTGGAAACAGGGTTACAGGGTCTTATGTAGTCCAGGCTGGCCTCAAAAACTCACTGTATAGCTAAGGATAACCTTGAACTCATGACTAATTTGTCTCTACCTCCCAGTGCTGGGATTATAGGTACGTGGAGTTCCAGGACAGAGCCCAGTTCTTTGTGTATGTCAGGAAAGCACTTTACCAACTGAGTTACAGCTCCAGGCCTGGAATATCGTTGAAAAGACTATCCTTTTTTTCCTACTTGGGTGTATAACTTTTTTTTTTGTCTTTTGGAGACAGGGTCTTCTTGTAGCCCCAGCTAGCCTGGAAATCACTATGTAGACCAGGCTGGTCTGGAACTCACAGAGATCTGCCTGCCTCTACTTCTCAAGTGCCGGGATTAAAGGTGTGCACCACCACATCTGGCTTCCTTGTGTGTTCTTGATACTCTGAACAAAATTCAAATGGCCATAATTATGAGATTGCCTCTGGATTATTCAATTTTATGAGTGATTTTTTTTTGACTCAGGCAAGCTTTTTATCTTCATTTCTGAAGTAGTGATGGTAATGTCCACCCATGTCCTTATGAGGAGTAGAGATTTTGTTAGTAAAATTTTTGCTATTGGGGGTGGAGAGATGCCTCAGCAGTTAGGAGCACTAGCTGCTCTTGCAGAGGACCCAGGTTCAGTCTAGCACCCACATGGCAGCTAACAACTGTCCAAAACTCTAGTTCCAGGGGAATTCAATGCCCTCTTCTGACCTCCATGGGCATTGCATGATACAGGTGCACTTACAAACATGCAGGCAGTACACTAATACATATAAAATAAAAATAATAAATAAAATTTTAAACACATTTTCCCATTGTGTCTATCTTCCCTACGATCTGTAACCTCTTGCAATTAAGAATAAGTATATTTGGTTTATTTCTTTTGTTTTATTGTTATTGGGGGTTTTGTTTGTTTTTTGAGACAAGGTCTCCTGTAGTCTCAGCTGGCTGGAACTGTATAGACCAGGCTGACCTTAATCTCACAGAGATCTGCCTGTCTCTACCTCTCCTTCGTGTTAGGATTACTGCCACCACACCAATGTGGTTTATTTCCAGTTTTCCTCTTTTTATGTGGTATGTTAAGTTCAGCATTTTTTTTTTATAATTTTAAACCTTTCCTAAGGTGAATGATATTCATAATTTTATTTGCATGTCATTTATAATTTTATTGAGGTAGAATTATTAAAACTAATTTAAGAAAGTTTTCTTTTAAAAATACCCTTTAATGGTATTGCAACAATAAATAATATTTTCATTTGTTGTTTATTTTGTTACAGGTGATCCTTTCAAGGATGATCCATTTGGAAAACATGGTTAGTATATTATTGAGTTCCCTTCTTAACGTTAATTCCACTCTGCCTAATTATAAGCATATGTTGTATTTAAAAATGAGAACTCACACACTGGTAATTCTAGGAAATGAATTGCTTTCTTGTTTAGTTCTAACATTTCTCTAAAGCCATAGTAAGTGCTATGTTTCTAGCGTTTTCAGAGTGTTAGAGTTTTGTGAATATGCATAAGAAACAACAAGCACCAGGCCTGGTGATGCATGCCATTAATCCCAGAAATCTCTCTGAGATTGAGGCCTGCCTGGTCTACATAGTGAGAGACTGTTTCAAAAGAAAAGAAACTACTAGCTTGAGAGAGAGAGAGAGAGAGAGAGAGAGAGAGAGAGAGAGAGTTGCTGGGGACTGAACCTAAGGCTTTGTGCTTTCTAGGCAAGTGCCCCACTACTAACCCCAACCCCGGCTTCACTTTTTAAAAAAGAAATAATCAAGGGCCAGGCACAGACCTTTAATTCCTATACTCAGGAGGCGGAGGCAGGTGGATCTCTGTAAGATCAAGGCCAGCCTGGTCTACACTTCAAGTTTCAGGTCAACTAGGGCTACAGGGAGACCCTGTCTCAAAAAATGAAAAATTAGTAAGAAAAATTAAAAGAAAAAGTAATAATCAAAATAGTGCTTAAAAATAACATTGACTCTAATTTCTCCATATTAACCAAAAGTTAACTCAATCTGATGAATCTTCACCCTGCTACTAGGTTGGAAAATAATTTTACTGTCCTCAGATTTTAGACTATTCATATGAATAGGAGAAAGGGATATCTTTAAGTATTATTAAATGTTTATTTTTTATTTTTTATTTTATGTGTATGAGTATATTGCCTGCATGTGTGTAAGTGCACTCATGTTTGTCCAATACCCTCAGAGGTAAGAAGAGGGTGCCAGATCCCCTCGAACTGGAGTTACAGACAGTTGTTAATTGCTATATGGGTGCTGGGAATCGAACCCTGGTCCTCTGCAAGAGCAACTAGTGCCCTTAACTGCTAAGCTATCTCTCCAGCCCCAAATGTTTTTTAAAAAGATATCTTTTCTCTGAAAATTTTCACTATAACAAAGGAAATCTTGTTTACCATTTAATTTGGCTTCCCAAATGTGTTCCATAGTATTGGATATTAGCCATGAATACAGAGAGAGGAGCACAAAAATTTTTTGTTATTTCTGGGCTGGGCGTGATGGCACACGCCTTTAATCCCAGCACTTGGGAGGCAGAGACAGGTGGATCTCTGTGAGTTCCAGGCCACCTGGGGCTACAGGGAGACCCTGTCTCAAAAAGACCAAAAACACAAAAATTTTTTTGTTGTTGTTATTTCTTTTGTAATAAGAATAGAGCTGGGCTTGGTGGCACATGCCTTTAATCCCAGCACCCAGGAGACAGAGGCAGGTGGATCTCTGTGAGTTTGAGGCCATCCTAGGCCAGCTGGGAGTACAGGGAAACCCTGTCTCAAAAAAAGAAACAAAAATAATAAGTGGACTTAAAACTAGATCCTTTAAACTTTATGTTTACTAAAGCCTGGCGTGGTGGTGTCTGTCTTTAGTCCCAGCACATGGGAGGCAGAGGAAGATGGATCTCTGTGAGGCCAACCTGAGTGCCAGACCAGCTGGGGTTACAGGGAGACCCTGTCTCAAAAAGACAAAAAAAAAAAAAAAAGCTGACTAAAAATAAATTTAGTAAGTGAAAGGCTCTGTGTGTTTCATTAAAATCACAATGTCTTTTTGTTGTTGTTGTTTTAAGTCAAGCAAAGCCAGAGTTTGTTCAAAGAGGATAATTTTATTAGTGTTTAAAAGAAAACCCCAGGGTAAGCAAACTGTAAATCTCAGCAGCTGCCTAGGGAGAGAGATAAAGGAGAGAAGAAAAAAAGCCATTTCTAAAAGAATGGAGGTCAGCCACCTGGCGAACAAGCAGCCACGTGGTGGGAAGGGAGCTTTAGAAAAAGTAAGGAGGCCCAAAGTACCAGGAAAAATATTCTTACCTCTGGCCAGCATCAGAAAAATAGAAAAAGAAGGAAAAAGAAATGATTTTCTTTTCTGACTCCAAAAAGGCGTATAGACCTAGCAGAACCTTCTGGTAGCTCTGCCTCAGAATGCCTTTTTGTCAGGCAGTGGTAGTGCCCTCAGGAAACTGAGTCTTCAGGTCCTTACCTTTGTTCTTTTTCTCTTAGATCCATTTGGTGGTGATCCTTTCAAAGGTTCAGACCCATTTGCATCTGACTGTTTCTTTAAGAAATCTTCTACTGATCCTTTTGCCACCTCAGGCATTGACCCCTTCACTGCATCCACCACCAGCAGTAATACATCGGTAAGTGGCCGGATTAAAAACTGTTCAAATGAATGAATAACAGTTGTCCTAAGTACATTTCTTGAATATATAGTAATGCAATCCTCCTTTTGACTATTTCTAATGGGCCATAAAACCTTTTTCAGATGCCGGCCCATTCAGTTTCTGGTTTAATGTAATATTTCATACTTTCATCATCCTCTGGAATTGATTAGAATGACTTACCATGTACAAAAATCAAGTCCAGCCTTATCCCATTGGTGATACTAAATATAAGTGATTGAATATCCAAAGCCAGTTTTAAGTAAAACTTGGATTTATTGAAAAAAATGGAAATTACTTTAAAAGGCACAATGATGTTTTAGAACAATAAAATCATTTCTGTTATCTTGTAAATATATCTGGAAAAGTATAAATATCCACTAAATGCCAGGCTTTTGAGTACATACATGTCTACATCTCTGTTTAATAGCCACTTACTGTGATCCAGGTACCTCTGTGCCTTGGAGTCATTGTTTCTAATCTTCATTTTAACATCTCTGTGACTGAGTATCTGCGGTTGCTACCAGCTACTAAATACTCCTTTTTCCTACAGTTTAGCTTACACTCGTTTTAGACTCATTTGCCAATTTCTTCTAAAATGGACACAATCTGAATTCTCCTCCCACCTTTCTCTCTCTCTCTCTCTCTCTCTCTCTCTCTCTCTCTCTCTCTTCTTCTCTCTCTCTCTCTCTCCCTCCCTCTCTCTCTCTCTCTCTCTCTCTCTCTCTCTCTCTCTCTCTCTCTCTCTCTCTCTCTCGTTTTCCACTGCTCTCATTTTAAAAATGAACAGGCCAAATCAGCTCTTCCTAATTTACAAATACATTTCTCTCTTCTCTGCTGCTGAGATTTTCCTACTATTTGTTCTTACTTTTTCTTTTTCTCCTGTTTTTCAAAGGAAATGTCGCTCTTGCCGTCACCTCATTGCTCCATTTGAGAAAGTTGGCAGCAAAATGACAGCTGCAGTTTATCTCCTCTCCTTGCCTCCGGGATGCTGCTAAGCTCTTTCCTTTCCCAGTCTGTGCCTCCGTTCATACCCTGTCCTATGAGGGTTATGGTTTTTGTTCTTGTTTTTTGGCATTTTTGAGACAGAGTCTCCCTCTAGCCCCAGCTGACCTGGAACTTGATATGTAGACCAGCTGGCCTTGAACTCATAGGTGTGTGCACCACCACGCCCAACCAGGATTACAAATGATTCTCCTCCCCCTTGTCTTTTTGTGTGCTATACAAATTCAGTACCACAGAACTACATCCCCTGCCCTATTATAACCTTTTATAAGCTAAGTAAATGAGCCAGATAAGGTGGTATGGGCCTATAATTTCAGTACTTAGGAGGTAGGGGCCAGAGGAATAGGAATTCAAGGTCATCCTCAGCTGCTAGTGAGTTTGAGGCCCTCCCAGGACACAAGATAAGAAACAAAAACAGGCTAGAGAGATGGCTCAGCGCTGACTGCTCTTGCAGAGGGCCTGGGTTCTATTCCCAGCACCCACATGGCGGCAACGAATTGGCTGGAGAGATGGCTCAGCTGTTAAGAGCACTGACTGCTCTTGCAGAGGACCTGGGTTCGATTCCCAGCACCCACATGGCAGCTACAAACTGTACTTAACTCCAGTTCCAGGGGAATCCGAAGCCCTCTTCTGACCTCCGCAGCATTGCACGACACGGGTGCACTCACATACATGCAATACACTCATACACATAAAATAAAAATAAAAAAGAAAACAAAATGTGAGGTTTACAAGGTTAAATTAGTACAGCTGGGATGGCAGGGAGATCCTGTCTCAAAAAAGAAGATGCAAATCAAGAGGGAAACATTTGTTCCTGATGTTTGTACTCTCTAATTTAGAATTTGTGAAGTTTTTCCTAGGAATAGCAATGACATTTCAGCTATGAAATGTTGTCTCTCAGTCATAGATTTGTGTCATTTGTTTAGGTGGAAACTCTGAAACACAATGATCCTTTTGCTCCTGGTGGAACAGTTGTTGCAGCAAGTGATTCAGGTAAATAAATTTGTCAATTTTACTAATGTTAATTATTACCTTTACTTAAAAAATTTTATGCGTATGAGTATATTACCTGCATGTATGTGAGTGCACCCGTGTCATGCAATGCCGTGGAGGTCAGAAGAGGGCTTCGGATTGCCCTGGAACTGGAGTTTAGGACGGTTCGTAGCTGCCATGTGAGTGCTGGGAATCGAACCTGGGTCCTCTGCAAGAGCAGTCAGTGCTCTTAACCACTGAGCCATCTCTCCAGTCCCAATTATTACCCTTTTTTTAAAAAAATGTAATTAAAGTTCATTACTACTTACAAAAAAGCTGTAGTGTACAGAAAGATTCAAAGAATTGAAAAAAAATTTTTTTTCACTGTACTGAACAGTTTATAACTGAAAGTACATGAGTTTATGTGTACAAATATTCCAAGTTTAAAAGAAAATCATTTTAGTAATAGTGATGGTCTGTGGACCTTAGTCTATCTTCTCCTGCAACAAAATATCAGATCACATTATTTATAACCAATAGAAGATTGTTTGATTTATGGCTCTGCAGGCTGGAATGTCCAAGAGTTGGCATGAGGTTTTTGTGTTGTCACATGATGAAACAGCATGCACACACACTTGGGACAGAAAAAAATGAGGCCAAATTCATCTTTTTACATCCTAAAATTAGCTCTAGTATAAATAACCTATTTCTGATAGAATAGCTCTAATGCATTCATGAGGGCAGAGCCTTCATGACCTAATCACCTCTTAAAGGGTCACTCCCTAAAAGAGTTACAGTGGCAGTTAGATTTCAACATGAGCTATGGAGAGGACATTTGTGCTATAGTAATATATGTCTACAAGCTTAAGCAGCCTTTTATCCGTGAACTAACATGAATCCCAAAGTTTCCAAAGCAGAGCTAGAAAATTGATTTTTTTTTTTGAAAAAAAAATTTTTAATTCGGATTTCCCTGTAAGACCTCCCATGGAATCACGTTAAGATGCCCACCACTAAAGGACTTACTTTGCATTAAAAACGTATTTTTATCTTTAGATAGAATTCAAAGGACTTGCATGAAGTATGTAGTATACCATTTTAAGATTATTTTCTTGTCCCTGGAGAAGTGTCTTAGTGGCAGTTAAGAGCATGGGCTGCTCCTGTAGATGACCCAGCAGCTTCACTTCTTAGCACTGGCATGGTGGCTGACACGGTAGTTCCAGAAGATCGCAAGCCTTCTTCTGGCCTTCATTGCCATTGCATCCTTGGAAGGCAAAGCACTCATATATAAAATAAAAATTCTAAGTTACCCTTGTTCCCCTTCCTAAATGTTATAGTGTGCACATATGCATTTGTTTACATATATATGTATGTATTGAAGGTTAGGATCTGCAAATAATGAGGGAGAACATGTATTTTCTTTTTCTTTCTGAGATTGGGTGACCTCACTTAATATTGTACATTCTAGACCCATCTATTTTCCTGTGATTTTGTGATTTCTTTTTTCTTTAGAGTAGAATAACACTCTGTTGTATGTATGTTCCAGATTTTCATTGTCCATTCTCCTGTTGATAGACAACTAGGTTGGTTCCATTTCCTTGCTGTAGTGAATGAACATGGGGATACAAATACCTCCGTAGTGTGGGGAATGGAGTCCTGGGGTATATGCCCAGGAGTGAGATATTTGGTGTTAAGGTTCAGATAGCCCTGCCCCCTCACCAATAGGATCCCAAGGACTTCTCATGCTCCTGAGAAAAGGGAACCAAGCTGATAAGCACCTTGGTCTTTGAAGTCAAGAGAAGCAGACTTTTCTCTACTGTTTGGCCAACACAGCAGGCTTCCTCTTTGATCTCTAAAGAGGACAGGTTTTAACAGTCCTGCTCCCCCCCTCCCC